GTGGACAGACAGGTGTATCTTACTGGGCACCAGCTGCTGGCTGCTGTTGGGGCTGTAGTAGAACTTGTCGTTACACAAACTGCCCTCACAGCAGCAGAAGAAGACTTCAGGAGCATCTTTCCTCTCCACGCACTCGTTCCTGTCAGCAGAAGAAGAAGGTCGTCAGACGGCCGTTATATAAAGTCAGGTTCATTTGTTTTAGCAGGTAAGTTAAACGTAAAGTCAAAGCTTTCAATGTCACGAAGGAAGCTCTCTTAAGGCCTGCTAGATCTCCATGGCAACTGATGCTGTGGAGTTAGATCTCCATGGTAACTGATGCTGTGGAGCTAGATCTCCATGGTAATTGATGCTGCGTAGCTAGATCTCCATGGTAACTGATGCTGTGGAGCTAGATCTCCATGGTAACAGATGCTGCGGAGCTAGATCTCCATGGTAACTGAGGCTGCAGAGCTGCGTAGCTACAGTATCAAACGCTTTATACGCCACGTTACCATGGGAACCTGACATGTATTCAGCTGGTGATGCAGAAATGCACTTACATAGAGTACCATGTTCAAATATCTGAAGCTTAACAGTGCAGCTGTCAGAAATAATCAGCTGCGTCGATCAGTAAAATAAATACATTAACACACGTGTAACAGTTTTCTACCAGCATTCCTGTCCTGCATCATTTGCAGCGGTCATAAATGTTCATATTCTTTGTTGTTCCACATTGACACAACCTGTAGTCTGAAGGAGGCGGGACGTCACAGCTTCATTTAGTTTTACATGACGTTTTTAGCGCCTTGTTTTATGCGTCTGTGTCTGACGAAGAAAACCTGGTAAACAAAGAATGTCTGTGACCGCAATCACGTTAACTGTTTTCTTCGACTGCAGGTTTAAGCTTTTATCAAAACAGACAGCATCAGTAAGGTCAAGAACTCTGTGACTAAAGTAAACATCCACAGTGAAATAACAAGTCAATTTATAGCGTTATTGATCAGTAATAACAGAGCAATTCAGCATGTTAATGATCAGTAATATAGAGTTAATTCAGTGTGTTATTGATCAATAATAAAGAGTTAACTCAGCCAGCGTGTTATTTAGTATTCAGGAGTTAACTCAGCGTGTTATTTAGTAA